TTTAGTTTGCTCATGCTCCTGGCTATGCCAGAAGAAAAGTTACTTTCCAGGTCCAGGTCAGCACATCCTAGTGAAGACAGTGGATGCTCTGGAGAATGAGAATAAACAGAACATCTCTTCCCTCTGAAATCGTCTGTGCGAACACTATTCTGCATCAGGAGGGGAGGCAGGACTGCATGGGGTAACACTGTAACATCTGCAGTGCTGGGTTCCTCTTTGAATCCTTCCGTGAGAGGGATGGCCTACTGTTTCTCTATAAGAGTATATACAATTGCATAGGTCTTTTTTATTGGGTGAATGGCAGAGAAGAGGTGGGGGAGAAGAAACGTAAGCAGTGTTCTGTAGCGTGCTGGTTTGTAAAACACGATCAGTAAGCATGAGTCAGTTCCACTGTTTGTCCTGTCCTGTGACTAGCTTTTCTCCTACAAATTTGGAGAGCTATGACAGCCTGAGATCGGTCAGAGCAGAGATCAGCTTTCACAGTACGGTGAAACCCCGTCCCTGCAGTTTCTGCCCCATGAGCAGGAGGGTGGGAGACCTGCCTGTAGAGGTACCTGCTCGGTGGATGGGCGCTCACTCTGGCTACTGACTTGCCGAGGACACTGCTGTGAGTCGCGAGTCAAATACAAAGACTGGGCTGTTGCAGGGAGGAGCCTTAAAGGGGGCGAGACAATCCATCGGGCTCTCTACATTGACGCTGACATTGCAATACTTTGCTGATCCAAAGGCACCCAGTCCCTCACCAAGCTAGTGAGAGTCTGACTTGTTTCCAAAAGTTTAAATGGGAGCAGACACAAACATCTCTGTGCTAGTGTTTCTGCTATCAGCCAGGCTTGTGCAGCTGCCTTTCTAAGTCTGCACTAACTGAAAAATGCGAAAGCTTTCTGCACATTTTTACTCTGTAAAAGCCATGTAGCAAACCAAGCCCTAGCACACCATGACTCTCTCTGTATACACCATGCTGTATACTTCTCCACCCCCTAATATGCAACCTTCGTGGTGCTGAGATTGGTCCCAGACATTGATGCGTTTTGAGGAGAACACTTGTGTTGTTTGAAGGAATCTCACGGTTGCTGACGAAGCGAGCTCGCCTCCTAATTGAGAGAGGAGGTCCCTTTTCAGGGTGACTTACACCGACCTGACCTGAGAACAACTGAAACTGAGCAGGTGTGACTCTGCAGCCTCTCATCTGCTTCAGGGTCATAGTCTCCTGTGACTTGTCTGTGCCGGACAGCGAGGTATCTCTAGCTTTGCTGCTTGGGCCCACCTTGGCGTTGTTCAGGTCAGCATAAATTTCCTTGCACTGAACGTGCTGTATGCTGTGTTTGCTGCAGGTGCAATCCCCTCGTCAACCTGAACTATGCTGTCCTGCTCTACAACCAGGGGGACAAGAAGGCAGCCCTCTGCCAGTACCAGGAGATGGAGAAGAAGGTCAATGCACTGAAGGAGAGCAGTACTCTTGACTTTGACCCTGAGGTATGTGCCTAAGAATTGTAAGCAGGAACTAAGTAGCTGCATGAAGACTGGCAAGAAATGAGCAGGAAATTTGAATTTTGAGTACAATTATTGGGAAGAAATTCTGCTTGTGAGACTTTCTGAGTAGAGCAGTCACCTGCTGAGAGCTGCCTACTTCACTTCTGTTCTTTGAAGCCCAGTTCTTAAATCAATGCACAGCAAGACAAGATTCCCCCTTAATTAAGGGAATGAATTAGGGAGATATGTTTCCCTCAAGCACCAAGGCCCTAGCTAGCTCCACACAGCACTCTTGCATGCTCTCGCGTGCGTTCTCTCTCTCGCTCTCTCTCTCTCTCTTTTTCTGATGACTTTATTGTTGCCTCAAGTGTTCCTGTTTACAAGGATCTCCTCCTCTTGTTTCTTGAGAAGATGGTGGATGTGGCCCAGAAGATGGGAGCTGCCCTGCAGGTCGGGGAGAGCCTGGTCTGGACTAGGCCTGCTAAAGAGTCTAAATCAAAGCAGCGAGCTGCTCCGTCAGGGAAATCCTCCAGCGTTCAGCAACCTTTGGGCTCTAACCAGGCCCTGGGTCAAGCCATGTCCTCAGCTGCTGGCTATGGGAAAAGCATGCAACTTCCTCCAGGTACTTCTCTTTTGCGTTTCTGTAAAGTGGAAGTATGGGAGGGGTTAAATACTCAACCAGGAGCAGGGAAATCTCTCTCTCTTTGGGTACAGAGTTACAGCGCGTTTAGGAAGTTATTTGCTTGCTTGCTTGGTACTGGCGTCAACATTTGGAAACTGCTTTTCCACCTTTCTGAGTTAGGGAAGCGTGGAACAAAGACGCTCTGCCTCCGGGGTGTTGTGCAGCCCTGCTTTTGCTGGGGTGTGGAAAGCCAGGGAAGTTTCTTTTCCTCTCCGAGCTATGAGGGCTAAAACTCCATTAGCAGGGGATTGATATCTTGCTCAGGGAAGGAGGTGGTTTTAGAAACCAGACTTCTTGAATTCCTTTGGAAGAGAGCAGCAGCAGACATACACATAAAGAGGGAGGCAGGCTGCTTATGAGAAGGGAAATGATGGACAGTTTTCTGAAATGCATTCTCATTTCCTTTATGAAAATTACTGCAGCTGGATTGCTTTGAAGTTGTCCAGACAGGTCCCTCTGTTGCAAATACTGCTGGATTGCTTTTTAATGCAGGCCATTGTACTGAAAGGAGCTCGGGAGATATTGTCAGCCTTAGAAGGCTAAGGGCAATAGCTGTACCTGCTGCTTCTTGCAAAGAGCTGGGTAGGAGCATCTCCTGAGCCACCGTTTATGGCCTGACCTCTTCTCACCCCTCAGCTTCCAAGGAGGAATGTACTAAGATATTACTCATGGTGGTGATTTTCTGTCACTCTTAGTCTCGTTTTCTGTGGATTGAAACAGGAGAGAGGTTCTGTACCCTGAAGGACCTGTTCTGTTTTTCCATGCGTGAAATAAACCTTCCACACAGGGGAGACTTATTCAGGAAAGCTGTCACATAAAACGTAACAGGAGTTTGGGGCTTACCCGAAGGACTTTGTTCTCCACGTCGGAGGAGAGAGCTGATTCATAGCATCAATTGTAAGCCTAAAACTAAGTGTTGAAACAACTTCAGAATGGAAGTGGTCTGTTTTGATTTTATTCTGTAAGTAGCTACATTAACTGCCTGGAAACTTCCCCTGAGATTACTATAACTGTGAACTGAAAACCGTAGTGTGCATTTGGTTCCAACTTGAGTACAGACTAGCTTTGAACTATTTTCCTGTCTAAAGCATGAGTTAAATTCTGAGTTTGTAGTGACTTCTCTCAGCAGCCCAGCTGAGCTAGCTACTGTACATTAGTTTCCCTTCAGGAGAACTTCAAGTACTGTAAGGTCTCTGGCTGGAAAACTCAACAAAAGAATTGAGTGTTATTGATAAACTCATGTTAGATTAGAAGACGTTTGAGAGTAATTAATAGCTGCGCTTGTTCTGTGTCTTCATGCTGCTTGGAGCAGCAAAAGAATGAACAAGACGTGTAGTCATACAGTTGCTGCAACGGTGTTCTCCCCTCAGGTGCCGGAGCATCAGCTTCCCTTGCCAAGCCTCCCTCACTGCCTCTGGAACCAGAACCAGGCTCGGAAACAGGCCCCGAGGAGAGCACAGCTCCAACAGAAGCTGAGGAACGAAGGAAGGAGAAACGCAAGAGCAAGCAGGCGGCGGACTAGAAAGGACTGTGGCCAGAATAGGCAGGCATGTCTCTAGTGCTGCCTGCTGATTTGCAGGAAAAGGCACTTGCCTCCCCCACCCCAACCCGTGATGGCTTCACCCCCGCTGTCAGTTTAGTCTAAACACAGCTGTTTGCTGATAGTGATTTTAGCACATGGTTTCTGCCTTGTCCCAAGGAGTCTTTGCAGCAATCAGAAGAAGTTCCTACATAGCTACAGTTACTGTGGTTGCACCTCACCAGAAGGGACTGGAGGGTGGAGATCCTTCACTCCGCCAGGGCTGGCTGTCTTCAGTGTTCAGGTGTCAGTTCTCCAGAAGGATGCTGAGGGCATACAGTATATTTAGAAAAAGCCAACAGCAGTGACTTAGCACCTTGGAAAAAGGACAACGCAAAGAGGGATCAAACCCTTCCAGTGGCTAAACTTTGTCAGCAGCTGGGGAAGCTCTCCACAAGCTGTAGTAAGGTCAGTGATACAGTGAAGGATACACTTGGAGAGGGGGAGAAGCTAGAACACCTCACCAGGGCAAGTGCAGAGTGGTAAGCCAGGCCTGGCACTAGCACAGCCTGACTCCTGGGATTGATAAGCTTTTTATTCAGAGTTTCACAAGGGCAAGACTTTATAAATGCTTTCCCAAAGGAAAAGAAGGGAGATTGTTCAGGTGGGAGCTGGAACAGGTGGGAGCTGTTACTCCTTACCATGGCCTCCCCTAGCAGGGTAGTGTCATGGCTGCAAAGTAAGAGAGGTGCTTTTAGAGTGCACGTTTTCTTTTTGGGTGGTTGTTGTGAAACATGGTGGAACTAGATAGCAAAAGTGAGCTGTTCTGCCCTGAGACAATCAGGCCATTAACGTACAACCTGGTGCAGTATGGATGGTCAAAGCAGACCTGCTGCACCAGCAGTATCGATGCCCTTGTGCACTTTCTGTTTTAATGGCACACATGTTGGCCAGCTAGTGACGCTGGACTCTGTTGCTGCTAAATACTTCTATCTGTTTCCACAGGAAAGTTAAAACTGCAATTTTTTTAAGGGAGGAGCATACTATAAGGTCTTCTCCCTTTTCCCCTCCAGTCCTGAGGCAGTTAAGTTTACTTTCTACAAAGAACTAATAGTATCTGTTAGGCTTAGCAAGTCCCAGACCACTCTGGAGCAGGCTGAGCCAGCTTCTTTAGGACTGTTCACCTTCCGATCCCAGGATCATCAGTCTTTCTATTTCTTGAATCCAACTGAAAAAGCTGTTTTTAAGTGTAAGTTTGTGTGGGAGCTAGTAATGGCCAAAGAAAGTTGCAGAGCTAGCCTATGGTAAGGCAGGTGCTCAAAGGTCGGCTATTCTGAAAACAGGCTAGCTGCAGCAGCACAGAAGTCCGCCACAGCCAAATTCCTAATTGTTTGCTGAGGGACAGGGTAAATGAGCCTCAACTAAGCTCAGTGCTCATGCAATTAAAGTCCTTCATTTAGAATTAGTATTGCACAGTGGGAAAGAGATTTTGCTCGAGACAAAAGTGCAAGCCTTTTCAGAAGAGAAGATATGGTCAGCTTCAACACTAATTTTAAAATGTTTTAGTATGACAACAGGCACACTCTGAATAATTTAGTTATGCCCTCCTTACAGTAGCTTTTCAGGAGAAATAATTTATGCTAGCTGCAAGAAGGCAAAGCATCCCATTGCTGAGTGAAGAAGGGAATTTTAATGCCTATTTTGTTTTGAAGATGTTTTGAAAATGTTTTTATACTGGAACAGAAAAATCTAGCTTTCCTTCCTCTGCTGCTACCATTTTGCTTCTTCTGGGCCTTGTCTAGAGCTTGATATAGGTCTTCAAAACAATGGCTTTTGGGCACCAAATAGGGCAGGACCATCCTCCTTTACATAGAGCCAGTAACTGGGTTAAGTGTAGTTTCTCTCTTCCTCTTCTCTGTGCACAGAGAGAAAAAGTTAACGTTGCTATAGGAACTTTTGATCTGAGTTTCCCAAACAGAGCACGTAGCACTTCCCCCACTGAAGCTGAAGCTTTGAGCTCAAAATATTCACCAATTAGGCTACTGACTTTTTTAAAAATATATATATTTCCTGCTTTTAGTGCTGCACTGTTGCGTTGTATCACTCCATAATTAACATGTGCAACACAGCAACGTTAGTAATGGGGGAATCCTTTCTGCAGTAACAATGTAACAGCTCTGTGACCAAGGCTCTGGATACATTTAACATATCTCGGTTGTGCTGTCTGGTTAGCAGCTATTCTCCAGAATGCCATTAACGCATCTTTAGAGTGCAACCAGGAACCAAAGTGCTCTCCTGCTCCCTGGAGAGCTCTAAACGAGTAGGAACCCTTCGCTTTCCCCTCTGTTTTGATCGGCAAAACTGCCTGCTAATCTCAAGTATGGCTTTTTTCAGTGTGTCCTCTACTGCTTGGTTTTGCAGTGGTACAGCCTCCCACTTGCACTCCTGTAAGGCTCCCCTTATGCTAGGAACTGAAGAAAACAGTACTACTTTTGTGAAGCGCTGGCAAACTTAAACAAACCAGACAAGAAGTAGCATAAGTTAGGTACAGTGCAGCTATTTTATTCACATTACATTTTTTACACTGAAGGTTACTGCAGCATAATGGGGTGCCTGTGAAGAAGAGGTTAAGAATGCAGAGCAACGGGAGGAAGGGACTACTTTTTACTCTACCTCACCTCCAAAACTTTAGTTCAAGACAAGTTTTCCTATAACAATTGCTTGTTATAGTCTTAGTCTTACTGTAAAAGTTCTCAAGCTGTGGAAGTTCCAATGCAAAGAATGGTGACCAGAACAGAGTGATTACATTTAAGTGAGCACCAGCATTGCTGATATAGGAAGGCTGAGTTTTCTGTCTGTCTGCTTCTCACCTTTTGTTTTGCTTTTAATGCTTAAATTATCCTTTTTACAACAAGCAGAAGGCAGGGGAAAGCAACTGAACGACTGTAGCATTATGAAACCAGTTTGCTATCTTCAGTGCATGGGGGCAGCCCTTGTCCCACAGGGGGCTGTAGGAGCCTGGTCAGCTTCGAAAGCACCTTTGTTTTCAATGTACAGCACACCAGAGCCACAAGAACAGCCAAAGAGCTAACTGTCTTCTCTCACCTAGACCCACTCTTAGCAACCTATTAGCTTCTTGGCTGCTAAGACCCTTTTATAGGTAAGTGTACCATGAGGTATACTACAGTTGCGGGTACTGTAAAGGTATTTAAAACATACCTCTTAATGAAAAGCTTAGGCAGATGATTAATACAAAGTTTCCTTCCATGAACAGAAGCAGTAGCATCTTGTTACTTTCTGGATCTGACCAGAAGGGAGCTTCATGTCTAAGGAAGCATTTTTAAGTACGTAATTACAACTGGATGATGAACAGAACTGAAATTCCTTGGCCCATGTCCTGTCCTCCCCCTGGGTATTCTGATGATGGCATTTGCATACAGTAAATTCACAATAGTTACAGTCTAGTACTAACTGTATAGAGAGCTTCTACGCTAACTAATGATGAGAATGAGGCTGGACTGTTTTTTCAACTGAAATTAAGCAAGGGATTTTTCAGCAGTACTGTGCTAAGTCATTTAGGGATTTTGGAAATCATTCCTTATGCTGCAAAACCTGCTTCTGGCATCAGCCATAATTCTAATTTTCTTTTTCCCCTCCGTAATTGAAAATTTAAGATGGAAAAGAATAATGAGCTTAATTTCTAGGGAAGGTAGGAACCATCTGCTTTAGGATTTTTTTTTGCTTTCTGGAAAAAGTAGACATGATAACCCAGGTTCAGTCATACTGCTTATGGCATAGACTGCAGTTTTTTATTTCCTCATAGGGAAGGGACTATAAGACTCAAAAAGCAAAGATCAGGCAGCAAGGCCTTGTTTCAGCCAAAAAGTTACCTACCGAATGATTCATCCAGCAATTTGTATTAAAACAGACAACTCTAGTTTTGAAGACTCTGAGACAACAGGATCCTGATTTGTTATGGGCAACATTACTGTATGCTTGCTCTGTTCCTGTGCTCTATCGTGTTTGCCCAATGTGGCCACCGACAGACAGAAAATGGGGCAAGTTCTTATGGCGTTCAGTTCTTATGTTAGACATTCAAAATTCCCACTTCCCCATTGGGAAGTGGGTTTCAGTTGGCAAAGCCTTTTCTTTAGAGACAGTTAAACCTCAGAGCTGAATGAAGAGAAAAACTTTACTAAAATAATAAGCTCTCCATGTAAATGCATACAAAAAAAAAAAACACAAACAAAACATATAGTAAGTAAGTATGTACTTCATCTGCCAAGACTATTTTATATAATAGAAAACATAGTTCTGCCACAAGGAAAGCTTTACTACTCCCTCAAAACAAATCAGCATTTTCTTCAGTTGCTCTTGATGAAAAATTCAGGTGAGATTTGAACCCAGTTTTATCCGGTCTGTGCTGCCTAAGGAGCAGCTTTCCTGAGAAATTCTTAGGGGAGACTTTTCTCCCTGCCTGCCTTTTAATGAGCTCATTCACCCTTAGCTGCCAGTGTTTGTGTTCTTCAGTTGCCACAAGCTCTTCTCTGTGCCGGCTGATACCAGGTTCGGTTTTCACATCCACAGCAAGCTGTTTGGAGCATATGCCTTTCTGAGTTTCTGGCACAGAAGGCAATGGCTGTGCATGCTGTTTCCAACCTGCATTTGCTCCCTTTGAGGGAACCTCAAGTCTTCCAAACAGTGAAACATCCTACAGCAAGAGTTTGGATCAATTAACTCCCTGAGAATTCAGTTACAGTTGGGGCTTAGGATCCACCTGAGATATTATGCAAGAAACTCTTCCATTTGTTATGGAAGGGAACTTAATCTGACATCTCTGAACAGACATGAGAACAATCATTCCTGAGATGCATGGAGGCTAAGGTAAAGTTTGACTGAAGGGCTGAATCAGATTCAGCATTGCTGGAGCAGAAAGCAGACAGGAACAAGGCCTGAGAGCAGTCCAAGGGCTAGTCTAGGCAAAGGAACGCTTGTTCTGCCTTGTATCACTCAGGAGTTTTAAAAAATCAAGAACAAAGATAAGCTTTAATATTCCCATTCCTCTCTTTAGTGAGCTCACTAGTGCTTGAACAAGGAACGTGAGACTAAATCTTTGTCGTGGCTTCTGTTTTAGCTAGCTGACGGGACCTACTTTGCTGTGAGCTTCATTCACTACAATGGACTACGGAAGCAGTGGGTTGTTCTGTGGAAAGCCCCTTTCCCTGCTCAAACCGTTGTTCTTGCTAGAAGCTACTTAGAACAGAATCCAAAGTTGAAGTACAGGTAGTGCATGTTTCATGGTGAATGCAGTGCTAACAACACTGTATTGCATTGCCCAGCAAGTCTATAGACATGTAATTTTTTTCTTTAAATGCAAAACTACCACTTTGGTATGATCCTGGTTTTAAAACTTAACTGTGTGCTTTCACCAAAACATCAATTGTACCAGAGAACAGTACAGTTAACATGGCTTGAAAGAAACACTTATGTTCAAACATGGGTTTAAGTCAGGATGTATGTATGTGAACAATCCAACTGAAGCTATTAAAAAAAGCCACACACCTCTCTTTCCCCCCAGTTTTACACTGTTCTTTCAAGCGTATTCAGAATCTTGATGATGAGTTTCCTTAAAAAAGAAATAGTAATGCAACACATCGGGTGACAGCAGTACTTGACAAGACCGCTTCAGAACAGATCGCTCTAAGCACACGTATCTGTGCCTACTGCCAGATACCAATGCCGAATCAGTTTAGCTGCTCACTAGTTGACAATGTTAACTTTCAGCTAAGCTGCAAGCAAGAGCCCAACAGCACAGATGTTTGAACAGCTTCTAGGGTATTTGGAATGAATGATGCTGCCTTTTACTGTTCCCAAAGCTGTGTCCTAGTGTTCGTTTTGACTTTTTTCAGAACATGGCTGGAGAAGTCACCCTGTGGAACATAACAGTTAAGCGGTGCCCGATACATGCATGCACACACAGAGTCAACCCCAATTATCATCAGTGGATTTCACCATTTAAGCTCTTACTTTTTGTATCTATTATAAATCCCTTGCATTGCAGAGGTGGCTGCAAGATGCCACTCCCCCACCTTAGTTTAACTAGTCATAGTAAACCTAGACAGAAGATAGCTGATGGCAAATACATAAACTGCTGGCAGTTTTCTGTTAGTTTTGGAAGTAGACCTAGCTCTCTGCTGCTATACAGGTGTTTGGATTCCAGCAGCTGAGAAGTGGAATCAGGCTTCAAATCAAGATCTGACAAGGTTCAGAGCAGTTGATACGGTCTTTTCTAGAAGAAATGCACAAAGGCTAAGGAAAAAGAAAATGAGCATCTGTTCTGTAAAAGGGACTCGCAAGAAAAGAACAAACTTAACCAGATCTCACATGTTGCAAGAGGGGGACGTAACTGAGAAACATGGAAGTAAAGAAAATCAAGTAATTCCTTAGCAGCAGTGTGAAACTCCCCTGGACAGAAAACAAAAAGCCTTTAAACCGCAAAACAGTTGGATTTGGAATATGTTCTTCCGTGGCCAGGTGGCAATCACATGTCACCATGGGTACAGCAAAGAAGCAGCAACATACCATTTTAACACCTACCAGCCTCCTATGATTCACGCATCTCAAATAACCTGCCATCTGACCTTCAAGAGGCACCACACAGGAAACATCACGTTTCTTTTGAAACGAGATATCAGTAGTTACTGTTGTTTGATCAAAGGTTGGAAAGAGAAAATATAATGCAGCTGTACTGGCTAGAGGTGCTCAGAAGTGAAATGCCAACATTGCACAAGCCCCATCATCTACAGAGCCACTGGCGTACTGTCACAATGATGAGGTCATGGAGCGTGTCATCAGCAAACTATGCGTGAATAAACATTTCCAGTGTATTTCCTTTCCATTCAGGAGCACAAGGCTAGCTGAGGTTTGAGTCATCTATCAGTGTGAATTTCAATGCACGATTAACGTACAAGAAAAAGAATCTGCAGAGAAAGAGAGGATAAGGACAAGGAGAAAGCAGAGTTCATTTCAAAGCTGCTTTTAAGACTTTGGTATTTTTGCAAGCTGTATCCTGATGATGAATCCAGATCTGGATTTTTACCATTAGATAAGTTTGCTAAAAGCCTCTCACCTACCAAGGACTTTTGTCTTCTACAGCCTCCCCCCCCCCACC